ATATATATGTGTGTGTGGTTGCCAGGAGAGGCAACCTGAATAAAGACATTGAAACGCCATTCTCTCCTCCCGTACTTTCCCGGAGTGGGCCGAGTAATCCCACACTGTTATTGTTTTTTTTCATCCATTCTAAGTCCATTGCTCTGAATTGAAAATGTTTTTTTTATTCTTAAGGTGAGCGCATTGTGGTGGAATACCTGTTGAATCAGTCTGAAAGAGGAGGCTTTCTGCGTTCCATACCACACAGTGACCTCGGCAACATTCTGCCAGACTTGCAGGTTGAAGTCCAGGGAGGAGTGTTTTGATGTCACTGTTAGTGACATCACTGACATAGTTGGTGACAGCCCACCTGAAGCCCCCCCCCGTGTGCAAGAGAGTCGGACATTTCACCCCCTCACAGTCCACTTCTCCACAGTGACTCCTCCAGCCCACCATATCACACATCACCTCAGGTAATTCAACAGTGGCATGGTCATTTGAAATTACAACAGGGGCCTTTGACGCTGTGAATTAGATGTTTTATTAATAGTTTATTACTTTATAGCTATTTGTCTTTCTGTTGCATGCTCATGTATAGGCAATTCAAAAATGCAAGGATGTTTTAGTAACTTTGTCTTCGTCCCTAATTTCTAGGAAACAACATTTAATGTGGGCAGTGTTTCTCACAGTCCTGCCAGCCCAGCCAGAAGTGCATTTGGTGAGGACAACCCCTTGAGTGGACCAAGATCATCATCTCAGGTAATTTAACTAATCACTTTCTGTGTCCAACAGAATTGGTTTTTATTTGTGGTGGTGGCTATGCTGCATATACAATGCTCCACTGATAATATTTGCCCATACCTTTATGACAGATAAATGCATATATACAGTTCCATTTTGTCTATTTGTTTCACACATATAGATACAATTACTTGTCTTATCAGAGTTTTTACAGGGGTAGTGTATGGGACACACTGACTTATCATTTGTCGATGTTCTTCATCTCTCAGGAAAGCCGATGTGATGCAAGGGCTTTTCCTGGGTGCAAGACTGTTGACAAGTTGGCGGAGTACCTTGTCAACATAATCCGCACAACAACAGCTTTGACAGGAGGAGAGATGGAAGACATTGTGCGGCTGCACTCAAGTCTTCTTGAGATGGACAAGTCTCTCACAAAATATACGCTGAAATCAAAGCGAAAGACCTTAACAGGGCTATGGAGAGCATCCAGGAAACGCAGTGGCTCTGCTCCGGGTCAGCAAGCGGCTGAAAGGTGAACTTACTGCACTACATTAATATATAATTAT